ATTTGACTTCAAACATTACCATTAATGTACCCAGAAGATCTCCACGTAATCCTGTTTGCAATCTCCTTACTGTACCCTTATCCAAAACTAACCTTGGTCGAAACGCACCCCTAAGTAGAATGTGTAGGGATTTGAATTCGTTCCTCAAGACTGTGCCTGATGCTGATGTGTTTCATGACGGGGAGAACCAGTTTCGCGCAAAAATATGGGAATCATTTGGCAAACCTCGCAATGGGGACTGATAAGAATGTACTGATCGTTACTGCAACCACTAACTCACCAGACAAATAGAGTTAAGTTAAGTATGGAATACCTATATGTCAATGTGATTCTGTTAATATGTTGTCTAAACTGTGAATGCTGTGTTAGCTCGTAAGTGGCATGTATATCAGAACCTTATTACTAAGATTTTACCATTAATGTTACATATATGTGCTGTGAGTTAACCTAATAAATAAATAAAAATAAAATAAAAAAAATGAGGGAAAGGAGGAACTAGGAAGAGAACTAAACGTATTAGTATTGATGTTTCTAAAGAGTACTAGATATTTCAGGCACAGTGTTATGAAACTATTGGCTATAATGTAGAAATACAAATCCGTGAAAGTTCTCAAGAGAGAGATGTATTACCAATTTTAAGGTATCAATTTATTTAAATAACAAGTTCCTGCAACAACTAAATAAAGTTTTACCTGAATCGAATAAATGTTCCGAGAATGCATAGAAGATGATCTATTACCGGTAACTATTATTATTATCAGAATACTTTCAGAGGGATAGTTAGTATTAGCAGAATTCATTCAAATAACTACTCTCAATTTCAATTCAACTGCCAAACAAATAGGAATACAATTTATAATCATAAATATTTACGAAGTTTTCAAAGTACCAGTCTTAAATTACTTTTGAAATCTTTATACATTGTTTGTTAATGGCTAGTCATTAAAATACATTATTTTTAATCTTAGTAGTATTTTTATTTACTACAGTAAAACAATAGTCTGCAGGACAATCAATGTCAAGCTTTAAATAGAAAAGATAAATTGTAGCATTAATTTTTATATTTGGTACTAAGTTAATGTCTCCGAAGGCTGCAGGTACTAACGAAAGCAGAATTAAAGTTCTTAATGCGATAAGGTTGTTGAATAATATAACTTGTTATAAACCATTATTTATTTATTAAATATAAAATTGCAATATATCAGATTGTTAGACCACATAAAATTATCATTGATATCTACAAACAGTTCGATTGACGTAATTTATACATTAACTCCACAGTATCAATATTAAACTCTATATAATAGAATCAACACAAAATTGAAACATTTACATTTTGCTATCATTATAAAATGGCACTACACAAGCTTTCTAAGCATACGATACTAGGGGACAAAGAAAGCATAAATTAGTTGGATATCAGCAGATCCTTGATTCAAACAGATATGCCTTAACATGATATGGTACGAGATGGGACAACTGCACTTAAAGTAGTAGATAATAATGAATATCGACATATCCACCTAACACGACGAGAGAAGGCATCACCAAAAACTCAGTTCTTAATTACTTAATAAAGATAATTTTCTTATTTAATTACTTAAATAAGAAAATTGTAGGAAAAGCAAGGAAACAATTTAAGTTATAACAAGAATACGATATAGATCAGATAGAAAGAAGGTCAGATATAAGAACTACTGGAAAATAAATTTTGTCGAAGAGAAACTGCGCGCTTGAAAACTCAGCTTAGAACAATGCCCCGCAAAATAAAGGGACGACATTGGCAAACTGGCAAGGATCTGCTAGATAACGGCGAGGTTAACGTTTCTTTTCTTGATACATTTAAAAACTATCCATGTTTCGTTGTTTAGATGCTCGTACCATTCTTCTATTTTTCTTTTTTGAAGGGAATGCAACTTCAGTTATAAATTTAAATATTCGACATAAAGTGAAAGTACATTTTCAATTTAGTAGAGAAACCAACTCCAAAATAAGCTTATTTCGTTAAGTACTTAGTTTCAACATTTAAATCAAATGTGACCCAACTTGGTATATGGTTGTATTTATATGTATGTAGATATTTATTTTAAATATTTTTTAAGGTGTGTTCAATACAAAATATCCGTGGCAAAGTACATACAGCACCATTATCATGACCTAATAATCACTGAGTGCCTATTAGATCGTTCTGGAATTCATATATCAAATATTTGTTCAGATTCATGATACTCGTATAACAGCGTCCTTATATCGTACGCTAGAACACTTTATATATTTTCGTTATTGTTCTATGCAATATTTACATTTCACTAAATAATCTCACGTAAATAAACTGACAATAAAAGCGCTTATACTATTATATATTTGGATCTATACATACAATTTATATTTATACAACTATGGATATTTACATTCACACAACCGACTTATCGAAATAAATAGTTTCTATGAGCGTTTTCCAATCTAAATTAAAAAACAATCTCATCTAACAACTTAGTTTTAAACGGCCGTGTTTATTGTATGAAGCGTATACGGCGGTGGATTATCGATTGAAATGAATCGACTTATACATGTCTATACAAAATATATGCAAAGGTGTTTCGGGTTTTTTTCATTAGAAATGTTTTTCTTGATTTAGGTCTATTTCCTAAATAACTTTTTCTCAATTTTCATTTTACTTTCATTTGTTTCGGGTGATGATTAGTTCCATGTTCTTTATTACTTTATAAAATTGAATTGAAGTGAAAATATATATAAAAGACATTTACAATTAATTGAAATTTTTACAAGGTAGCTGTCTACACAAGGAGTAACTTAGACTATGTTTTAACCAACTTCGAAAAGGAGGAGGTTGTCAATGCGGATGTTTATATTTTTTTATACTTACATACATATCTCCGTCATATCTGGAGGGATTCTAAAAATTATTTTGTTGTTCGAAAGGGGTTTATTCCGAAACAGTTCCATTTATATTTCATATAGATCTAATGATGAGTATTGGAGACAGCCAACGGAACTATTAAAAAAAAAACCAGCCAAGTGTGAATCGGCCTCGCGCACGAAGGGTTCAGTACCATTATCTATAAAAATGGCCAAAAAATCACGTTTGTTGTATGGGAGTCCGCCTTAAATATTTATTTTATTCTGTATTCAGTATTTATTGTTATTGCGGCAACAGAAATACAACATTCCTTGAAAATTTCAACTGTTCAACTATCACGGTTCATAAGATACAGCATAGTAATAGGGTCCCGTTTTGAGTACGGAACCCTAAAAATTGCAGCAAATCAACCGCGATTGCCGCTAGCTGTTCGGAAATCGCCTTTCGGATATCCGGATTTAAAACCGTGGTGGTTATGAATTCCAAGCAAGTTATTTTTATCCTAATTTCAATGAGTTTAGAAATCATATTACTTAATTTCGATACAATTATGCATGTCGTGGCATGCTGCGGGACGCTGCAGCATGTTGTATCATGCGTTTTCATTCTACAATTATCATGCCACTATATCCCGCGAGTTACATAGGTCGCAGGAGTATAGCCCTCCTTCCTCGCAGTCAAGGGTGGGAGACAGTCAATCAGTTTCGTCTGTGCAAAGTTGGTTGCGTAGTTTTTATTGATTGAGATTTAGTATTATTAGCAGTTCTTGCTGAAGATGAAGAGAGACAAACATAAACTGATATATTGAGGCAAAAACAATTGTGGGTAGGTACATCATTGGTGGAGAACACGAGAGACACTTAGTGTGAGTCAAGACACGCGCCCAGCCCAGGCCGCACCTCATTTGCCGACAACACCGCCACATCCAGCTTAAACCTTATTTCAATTAGTTTGGCTGTCATATGCCAAGACCTAGCGCGGTGTAATTGTATAGAAAATTTAAAAGTGAAATAATATGAATTCTTATCACGTGGAAATATGGATAAAAACATCTTGATCAGAAATAAAATCAATGTCAGTCAACGTTGGGCTTATTGAGTGGCTAGGCTTTGTTTGAGATGCCACGGCGATGCTTTGGCAAGCTGCATACTTCGGCTGCCGAACGACACAGCTGGGAAACCAAGTGTATTCTAGCAAGGAAATCCCTGATTTACGGCTTACAGATAGTCTCCTGATGTGTAGTGACCATGGTTTCCCGTCCCTGTCCTAAAGTAGCTCTGGAGTGTGTCGCGTCGCCACCTGCTGAAATGACGGAGATCATTCAGCGACCACCACCCGTACCCAGCGGCCCTGAGGCAGCTCGTTTCAAACTCCATGCGAATGAAGTCGCAAGTACCAGCTAGCCAACCAAATAAAATATATATATATATATATATTCAGGTTACTCAAACTTCTTTCATTATAAAACTAAACTACTTAGGTACGTATAGTACAGCTTTATTTATTGCGCCTGTAATAAAATAATTCCTTCCGCTTTTTAATAGACCTCTTAAACAAAATATAATAGTAGAAACATTAAGATGTTAGATTAGATTGTTGATAGCTAACCACCGCCGGTACACATTTTACTACGGGATTAAAAAAGTAATCAGTCTATATATTAGTAGAAAACAATAGGAAATTAAATCTTTCTTCAAATTTTTTTAAAGGAACGTTAACGTAGAAACGTTTCTTAACGTTATTACAAGGAACCTTAAGAATTGAAATGTAATTTGTAACTTTATATTTCGTACTTTCCAAGTTAGTGATTTTTGAGCAAGTTATTAATTTACACAAAGTAAAGATCATAACTTCTTGGGAGTGTAACCGCTGGAATAATAAGCTTGTATAACAGTAATATACAATTTATATATTTTCTGCCTTTGTTGGAGATAGTTGCTAATATTTCAGCTATTTACATAAAACAATACATTTGAATTACCAAACTAAGCTCACTCAATACTATGATTTATTATAATGTATAAAATCTAGATATATATGTACTATAGTAAACCTGCGATTCATTGTCCAAATAAAATATCAAATCCTTTAAAGCCCATTAATGATACATTGTTAATTTCTACACACAACTTTCAGGTCCCGGCAGATTTTCCGCTAATACATGTTCCCTTCTTCGGACGTTGCCTTTTCCTTTGGTTCTGTGTAGTGTAGAAGTTGCTAGGCTTCCAGAACTTAGAGTTGGACCACTGAGGGTTAATGTCTGGCTCCCAAATGGAGAGCCCAAGTTCCCATTTGGGCACACGAAGTTAGGGCTCCCTAAGGTAGGACTGTTGGTTCCTACATAGTTAGGCCTAAAATTACTACCTATTACTGGTTGGAGGTTTTGATTGAGTACGTCTTCTTGTCTACTGTTAGGAACCAGGTCACTGTTTGGAGTTAGCTGTAAAAACATAAAGCTTATTGTAATTTATTTAAAGTTATACAACGTTGCTAAATATTGTTAAAATTAAAAAAAAATACCAAACCTGTTGCGGATGCCCTGCGGAATCCAACAGTGCTAGGTCTTCTGCTGAGAATACAGCACCTGATTTACTCCAATCGCCTAATAACAAAAGACTGTTAGTTACTTTATCAAAATCTATAATATATTATTATTTATATTACTAATGACGATTTTTCTTATAATTAGGTACTTTAACAACAACCCCATTCTCTCCGTACGGAGTGATGTCATGTAATCACATGACATCGCTCCCACATGGCTGTTTAAGCATTATCTCCGGATCCAAGTTTTAGCTATACATTACACTTTTTACATGTGTTTTATAATTACCTACAATATCTTGGGAAGGGATCATTGATGAAATGAAAGTGACACAATTTAAAAGCTGGATTGACTGATAGAATACTTTTATACTTTTATTTGTAAATACATACATATTATGCATAGAAAACACCCAAACTCCGAAACAAATATTTGCAAATTATACAAATATTTATCCCGGGAAACGAACCCAAAATCTCAGCTTAGCAGTTGCACCACTACACCACCGCAGTCAAATGTGATGTTGTAATTGCTCGAATCACTTTGTCTCGATTCATTACAGCATCGCAAAGCTCTCGAAGTTGTGTGTTAAAATGTGTGCTTTTTGTCATTAAACAGAAGAAAACCTAAAAGCATGTGTATGTTTTCGCAAATATTTAGTAACTCTCTGTAGCTTACTGATGACACTATTCATAAGAAGAAACATAACACATTTATCATCATTATCATCATCAATAGTGTCCTCTGACTTCTTTAATAGTCCACTGCTGGACATATACATACCTCTCTTTAGAAAGGAGGTTTTGGCCTACCATGCAACGCTGGCCAGACGGGTTACTATAGGGTTCGTTTCAAGTTTTCCTTCTCTTTACAGTGTTGTCTTGCATAGTTTGCTCTCTTAGTCGACTCTGATGCCACCCACGGGATGAACAGGCGTGGTGACAATTCGTGTTCTTGATCCGTCACCACCTTGGACATTCACATTTACGGATATTGTCCGTCCTATTAGTAGAACTTTTTCAATTCTTCTTTACCGATTGTAGTTTCCATATAGATGAATAACCCAAAATTTTAAAATAATTCATTAGGTTGGAAAGAAAACGAACAAAAATCTGTAGAATTTACCTCTGACTTCTTTTATACTGGGCCATTCATCAGCTTCTTCTATCGAAGGTGCTGTACGCTGATTTTCTGAATCTTAAAAGAAAAATACTTATCTTAATTTGATCTTATTACACTTCATGTTACGAAAAGAAACAAAAATTGAAGTCGAATTGAGTACAAGAGAAAAAAGCGTGTATTATGAATGAGGTCATTTATATGATTTCTTCAGTACAAAATATTACCAGAGCATTCACATAAAAAATCTGAAAAGTTGTAAGATCCGTATAAATTTGTATATAGGTAGTGTGCCCATGTCTGGAATAGATTTTCAAAGACTTTGCCCTTTTCTTCCTGCGAAAAACCTAACTTAGCCATTCTAGAAATAGTCTTCCATATATCAAGTCACAAGGTGGTTTTGGGTTCTTGGTACACAGGTCCCTTGTAAACAACGTGGTCGAATGTGTGAACCCGAATATATGTCAAGCTATTGTCATCGGAAGTAACTGTTGTGTGAGCCAGCTCGACCTTGCTTCACTTTCGCCACTTATCTACGATGATATGGATATTCCATACTGTGTAAGTGTCAAACCTCAGTGTGTAAGCCTCAGATTGTATGTTGACACAAATCTTAGTTGGCGAAAACAAGTTGCATCTGTGTGTCTGAAAGTCACAGGCTAGTTGCGGGCCCCCTATAGGCTCAAGAATTTTCTGCCAATAAAAACTAAGGTAATGCTTGTTCAAACCCTAATATAATCTATAATCTACTATGATGATGTTTGCTACTTTGACCTGAATGCAGATCTGCTCAATAAGCTTAACCGTCTTCTTAATAATTGCATTCGTTTCATTTTCAATTTACGCAATTATGATCACTTGATCAATAAAATCAACAGATTCTCTGATGACACTATCAAGCTCATGGAGGAAAGTCACAACTTGATTCTGCAGTCTCTAGATGATGCGTCTAAATACCGGACGCTCAATAGACAGATCTCAATGTGACAGAAAAAAGACCAATGCCAATTTAACACCATGAGTATTAAAGAGGGTATAGAGATGAGATTAGATGATGGCAGACTCTTATCGTCATCGATAGAAATACACATCAACACTGGACCATGTTACTGACTTGCTAGCGACGATATACCGGTCTCAACTTGTACGAGTTTAGTATGGCTGTCAAACAGCTCAAGAACCACAAAGTACCGGGGGAAGACGGAACCACGGCTGTGCTCCGGAAGGCTGTGCTCCGGAAGGCAGGTGGAAAGCCGATCTATAAAGTCCTTTAGAAGATATTCAATTCCGTCATATTCAGCGGGAATCCACCCGAGGCATGGGGTTCGGGGGTGTGGTGGTGCTTATAGACCCGTTGTTCTTCTGAGTCATGTCCATGAGCCGTTCTCGAGAGTCATTACGAATCGTTTCGCACGCAAATTTGGCCACCCTCCCGAACAAGCCGGTTTCCGAAAAGGTTTTCGTACTATAGAACACATACATACGCTGCGGCAGATTATACAGAAGTTGTGGAGGCACTCTAGCCCGTCATCGTCGAGTGGGCAGGGGGGCAGCAAGGGACCCTTTTCTTCCAGCTGACGCAGGTCCTTTCCGGGTACGGCTGCTTCGGGAAGTACCTGCACTCGGTCGCTACTAGGGAATTGAGTCCCGCCTATCACCAATGCCATTGCAGTGACGACTCGGCTCAGCATACGCTGGCAGTGTGCCCGGCTTGGGCGCTGCAACGCCGGGTCCTCATTGTAGTCATCGAAGGGGATCTCTTGCTACCGGCCGTCATTCGCTCCATGGCCGGTAGTGACAAATGTTTCATCGCGGTCGCATCCTTCTGCGAGATGACGTCTTCGCAGCAGGCGTCAGGCAGCTGAGAGGGCCCGGGAGGACAACCTCTACTCGGACCCAATTCGTCGCCGGCGAACCGGGCGGCAGAGGCGAGCTTACCACCTCAAGCCACCCTGATTGTGGCCACGACTGTGGTGGACGGGACGGGCTTTCCCTTCCACATGCCATAACGGCCAGCCGCGAGGAGGCGACGTCCGCGTGAGTCGAACATCGCCTAAATGGAGAATGTACCCGAAGATGGTGCCCACGGCCATTGCGGGCAGGCGATAGGAGGGGTCCGGATGTCTTAATAATAGCAGTTGCAGGATCTCTCCTGTTACAAGCGCAGAGTGGCAGATGTGGCTTTAGTCGGTCCAATTCACACCACCGTGCCACAAACCCTGGTGGGGTGACGTCCCAAAGGGGTTTCTACACGTAAAAAAAAGTTATACTAGGCATGCCTTTTAAGTTCTGTCGTTTCCATATTTCCCGACAATTTTGAATTTGGAACTGTTCCATAATCGAATGTGTTTAAATTTTGAATCTCAAAACAGTTAAAAGTATTAGAATTAATGCTATTGTTTAGTCATAGCGTCGATTGGAATCTGTCAGGTTACGTACAAAAATGAATCTTTCTAAGAAAAATGATCGTGCAATAATTTTCTACAACTTTAGAAGAGGCCTGACACGGATTCAGTGTTTTGAAGAGCTAACATCTGTGTTCAGTGATGAAGCCCCACGTCTGCGGACTGTCGAACGCTGGTATTTAGAATTCCAGCGTGGACATACTAGTGTTTGTGACAAATCTCGAAAAGGACGCCCAAAATCAGCCTTTACTGAAGATAACATCATTGCTGTGAGACAACTAATTCTCGAAGATTGTCATGTGACGTGTCGAGAGCTAGAGGCTCTATTAGGCATCTCAGGGACAACCATTCAAAAGATCTTGCATGAAGCACTTGGTGTGAGAAAGCTAGTTTGCCGTTGGATACCGCATCTGCTTTCCGACGATCACAAGGCGGCCCGCGTCAGATGGTGTAAGAAAACTCTGCAAAGATTCAACCGAGGAGAGTCAAATCACGTCTACGACATCATCAGTGGTGACGAATCTTGGATCTATGCCTACGATCCTGATTCCAAACAACAATCTTTCAAGACGAGCCAAAGCCGACTAAAGTTGTTCTCGTTCTCGAAGCACTTAAAAGAAGATGGTGGCCACGTTCGTTGGAAAAACCGGCCATGTTGCGACTATTGCACTTGAAGATCGTAGAACGGTTAACGCAGAGTGGTATACCACAGTTCGTTTACCACAAGTCATCGCCGAACTCTAAAAATCTAACTCAAAGCGACGCATCATCCTGCACCATGACAACGCAAGCTCACACAGCGCTCGTCAAACGATTGAGTATTTGAAGCAGGAAAAAGAAGAAATTCTTGACGATCCTCCATACAGTCCTGACCTAAGATCTAACGATTTCTTTACATTTCCTAAAATTAAGAAAAGTCTTCGTGGTCAAGGTTCCAGACCGGTGAAGAAGCAGTCGACGATTTCATGTCAGCCATTTTGAACACCCCCACTTTAGAACAATCCACTAGGTTCTGAAACAAAGTCTAGAAGACAGGCAGATGGAAAACAAAATAATCCTATAAAGGTTTCTGTCCTTTTGTTAGGGAATGAAACTCTAAAAATGATTTCAGAACTAAGGAGTTTATATTAAATGTCTACTAGGAAAATCTTTATGCGTGTTAAAATCTACCTGGCGCATTGAGTATATCTGGCTGTGGTTCAGGCGTCTTGAGATCTGGTGAAGGTTTAATAGTGTAAGCTACGACGTATCTTCTCCCACCGTCGCTAAGCTCCAGCATGTCGCCTGGCGGATGCTTGTGGGGAGGAGTTGCACGCCGGCGGCGTGCACAAAGTGCAGCAACAGCTACACCGACTGCTGCAAGTGTCGCTCCTAGCGCCGCTGCTACAGCGAGACCGAAGGATACACCACCCATTGCACTTTTGCCATCTAGTTTCAAAAAAATACATTAAGATTAAATTTCAAGTTATAGCAAGCTACTCTTTGAAACATTTTACTGCAGTCTTGATTGTTTTTTTTTTAAGTTGGAAGTAACATCTACCATACCGTAAAGATGTTTTCTTGACGACTATTGGAAAAAAAACTTTAAGTATTTATTACGTTACGTTACATAGGTACGTAAAAGGTCTTTAAAGTTTTTTTTTTAATTAGCGAGAATTTTCATACGGTATTTTAATACGGTTAGTAAAATCGAAATGTCTTTTAGGTACAGAACAATGGATATTATTAATTTTAGTGATTTTATGCTGCAGAGATGGAAGTTTAACAAGGGAAATAAATCAGAGATAAAGACAAATACTTTAACATAATATTAAAATGATGCATTTAAAAAAAACGAAGCTTATGTGCAATAGTTACTTTTATTATTGAATCTTTGGTTATATTAATGACTGAATAGAAGAGGCTCGACTAGTATATATATATATATATATATATATTATGATAAAAGAATGACATCATTAAATATTTTAAATTACAATTTGTTCCGTTGTCTATCGAGCCTGTAAAGGGATTAGTATGAATATTAAACTTATAAACATCCAACCCACAAAAGTCATTATCAACATAAGTAAAGTTTTGTAATAAAATAGACGGAATTAAATATACTACATACTCGTAGTGTATGTTTGACATCCTTTTGGCATGTGTGTAATACAGCATACTTAGATAATAATTATGTCTCTGCAGTCGTCACTTTCCTTTTTGTATAAGTTTTTATCAAAATATTCTTTTGTCTTCATATACTCGTATTTATGACTTTTTAATAAAAAAGATTTTTTAGATCATTAGTACCGGCTAATTTCAACTTTGATTTAATGGAGTCGCAGCAATTTCTATTATACCAACTTTTCTTTGAAGCAGATAGCATCTAATAATTTAATGGTTCCCTTAATTTTAAAGAATTTTGAAAAATAAATATTTAAATATTTTGTAAATAAATAAGAACCTTTAAACATTACACTATTGTTTATTATGTGTTGAATTAAACATGTTATTATAGAATAATCCAACCTCGATAAGATATAATTATGAAGGCCGGCCAGTTGTCATACATGCCGATGTATCGTTAATTTCGATAAGTTAAAGCAAAGGGGGAATGAAATGAGGCCGTCTTGGTCACAGTCAGTATGTGACGCATGTCGAACAACCTGGTCAAGACGTCAGGCAAAAGTCTGTAAAGCCTATTAAACACGTGATCGCATTAATTCCTTGTAACAGAATTATATTATCGTGAAACACGACAGTTTATAGTTACTACGAGTATACGGGGGCAGCTTCTGTGGTAAGTCTTGTGGACTCTAGGCAAAGTGAGTGGAAACTTCTTGAAGGAAGATGTTGCTACTTAAGGTTAGTGTGAACATGCTGCGTTTTTTTTTTTGTTGTTAATATAAAAACCTATTATAAAAGAGACAGATATACACATCATACAAACAAAATTTTACCTAAGTACAAAACCTAGAGGTATAAATTGTGTATAAAAATAATTTTACTTTTACGTAATATGTAAATAAAACTCGACTCACATGCCTCATATACTAAACGCAAATATAGCTTGTTATTTTTAATTTTATTCCGTGAAAAAAATGCAAAAGTCTGAAATAATATTATGTTTAATATCCATTTCAATGGGTACGATATTGTTATAAAATTTTGTTACTTCATACATTTGTTTTAATATACAGTAATAAAAAAAAGGTCAGTTAATATATAATTTACCTGTTCTTTTAGCGGCATCATTAAACCCAATATTTTCCAACAGAGTCTTCTCTGATTCTCCTTTTAGGTTTCTTGCGTAGATGAGGAGATTAAATGTAGCACCTGAATCGCCCGCTGCTGATAGCTGAGATAGGTCCAGCTTAAATATGGCTAGGCCGTCTGGTAGAAAAAAAGATATAGTTTAGACGGATTTAGAAAATTAAATATTTGAAATCTAATCTCTATTCTATCATCGAACGAAAAAAGTCTTAGTGAAATGTGAAAATAAAAAGTTATACGAAAATAAAACGAAATCTACCGTCTTGCGAGTATTAAAGCAACATAATGCCTGCATTTATAGAACCACATTAAATGTTATAATCAAGAATGAATTGCTTAAGAGGTATTGTATAAATAATTGTGTCAGTGGCAGCTGCACTGCAATAACTTTTTCTCAGGTTCTGAAAGTTAATTTTATAAATTAATTGACTGTAAATAAAACTTAACATATTAAAATATGGATCGAAAACTGTATACCCTTTATTAGGAGGACGGAGGATCCAGGGAGCAGAGGGAATATGGGGTTCCCATACGAGGGGGTCGTCTACCTGTTGTTGTAGATGGCCCGAGGTATGTCGGGGCACCAGGGACTTCCTGTCTAGGGTATACCTGGTTCCCCGGCTATTAGTACCCGAGACGGCGTGCGGTTTTGTGTTTGAAACATTCAACAATATTTTGGAACATTTGTTTTTAAGTTTTTTTTATATAAGTGTTTAAGAAACCATAGTAAAAAGTAGTCATTAATAACTGTTTAGAATTCTGGTAAGACAACAAAAAAGAGACAAGAAAATCTTAATTTTTCAAAGACATTAAAATAATACAGTATTTAGTCAACCTTCACTTTTGTAATTCGCGTTCGCTTAAGACGTAATAGACACAAAAATAACCAAGTGAAATGATTTTACAATAATCTCTACTAACTTAGAATTTCTGAACAAGAACTTGTTTAAAGTAAAAAACACATAGGTATATACTATGCAAATGCAAATTGTTGCTATAAATACACTCTCTACACTTTATATATATATAAGAACTATCAAATATCCAATAGTTATCTATGTGCACTCCAGTGCTATTTTTAAATGAGCAATATCACGGCTTTTGTATACTCTGTAAATGTTTTCCAAGTTTACTATAGCATCAACTTTACAATTCCAACTTTTATTAATGAGAAACGAAGTTTATAAATCCTTAAATATAAAAACTGACTCCCAGACAGAACGTCATACATCATTTACTCCTTATTTAAGCCGTGAACCGAGCTGTGTGAAACCCTACAAGATTTTCTGTGTAACATCCTCAAACTTGACATTAAATTCAGTTTTTTTTTCTTGAATAGTCGTTAAAACTTGGCTTTACATACAAGTTTGTATTTTTGGTTAAAAGTTATATTATAAGGGAATAACTGCTGTTTGTACGTTAATTTTTTACTGACTTTTATAGGCTTTTTTTAAAGCTACCTATTGTTTGGTACTTACTCTCCCTTCTACGTCCAACCATGTCGGTACTATTGTCATGAAAACTGCTTATTGATATTTTCTATAAAAACTTTTAAAATCATTACTCTCTTCTTTTATTTTGGCTTGACTGGCCTGTTGGTCTAGTGGTTAGTGACTCTGACTGCTAAGCTATAGGTCGTGGGTTGGATTCCCACCCAGGATAAATAGTTTGGGATCACGCGGCCTTGTGTGAGATGTGTGAAAATATTATTATTAGCAATTGGAGAGGCCTACGAGTATGTCCAGCAATAGACTGCGATAGGCAGATGATGATGAAACGAGTAGTAATAAATAACCAATCAAATTAATTAACTAATTCAATACAAATGCAGGCTATTGACTGCATTTGTTTATTTATTTAGTTAAATGAAGCTTACCAGTCTCGCTAACGCTGCCGTTGAATCTCGTCTTCCCAGTGACAGGGTCCAGTGCTTCCAACATAAAGTACTGTGGTAAGCCGCCATCGTAACCAGGCACGCAGCGAACTCTGAGCCAACTGCTGCTACCTTCGACGGTGTTGTTGCCCGCTTCAAGTGAGCAGTTGCGAGGAGCGGTCGGCCGAGCTGTTTGAAAGAAGGTAATCATTAAGTGCATTGGAATGTAAAGCCCCTGTTTAAAGCACAGTGCTCTAGTAGTTCACTGGAAGTAAACTAAGAAGTCTAAAACGTTCACTAAAGAGTTTTTTTTATATCTGATGTATTTTAGTTATTAAACCGAAGGCCAGCTCATTTATCGTTTTACTTTTAAAGTTTCCTAAGTTTTCACTTCGCCATCGACCAATACAAGTCAAACAATCAATAGCACCAACATTCCTTCAAGTTTGTAAAAGGTAAAACGATTTAAGATTAAAATCATGTTTTATACTAGATGGGTGTTTTAGTAATCGTACTCGTAGTAGTAATGGAGAAAGCTAAAAATGTTATATAATGTGTGGTGTAAATTACGGTTTTGTTATCTAAGTAGGCTACATATTGTATAACTATAGAAGTTCAAATATTTTTGTGGTGGCATGGTACAAGTCGAAATCGAATAGGCTATCGATCGACATGACGTGCAGTGGGAGAGGCCTAAGACCAGCAGTGGACTGCGATAAGGTGATGATGATGATGATGGTGATGATATAAAAGTATATATATTGTTAATTTAAGTTAAACCTGACAGTCAAGTAGAAGAAGGCATTAAAAACGTTTGTAATTAAACCGATTGATTTAGATTTAATTTTGTTTCAATTAAAAAAACATTAGGTGGATTTTTCAATCGTGAACATACTCGTAATTGACTGGGTTGATAAAAATATTTGTTTAAACATAATTGTAATAACGGACACGTCCAAAAAAGCTTCACTAAACAACAAATATTGTATGTTAAGCAATGGACTACAGGATATAAACTAGACGTTACTCAGTATTAAACATTACAATAATAATGTTTTAGAAGGCAATTTCGGCAATTCGCGATCCATAAAATGAAATACAAATTTTGATAATTAGGTTGACTGTTAAGATATAATACCTTGGTAAAGTATACACTTAGCGATCGCGTCAATTCCCGTATAATACATAGTTTTATATGTATAATAATGTATAAAGTTTAAAAGTTAATATTTGCTTATTAAGTCGATCTTTGTCTAACGATTTTTATAGAATTACAAAATTAGATAAGTTTAATTACCAATTAAAGTTTGAATACCTAGCAAGAAAAATAGAACTATTATACCCTTCTTAATGATTTAAATTTCAAGTTAATTTCAAAGTAAGAAACTTATGACATGTGTTATTAATTTTGCTTAGTATAAGCATCAAGTCTTCAGTAAATTAATTATAAATAGATTTTAACTAAATAGTTCGTAATAGTGTAGAATTGGCCTTTGATAAAGATTCAGCTATTCTATAAACTATAATGTAATAATAATATCACTTTTATACTTTTGATTCTTTTCATTCTAGCCCTCGTTGTTCATTTATAAGTATGGCGTCATAGTATTATTTATATTCTATTCATCTGGTTAACAATAATAAAATAATATAATTCATCTTCAAGTCATTCGGATTTTTTATACAAAATATCAAACCCAACGATACGTTGACTTTTTTAACTTCTTTGAACTATCTGATATGAAATTATTGTGATAACCCATACTAATAATATAAATGTGAAAGTAGGTAACTAAGTCCTTCGAGGGTGTTGATATTGGATTCACCTTAAAAGTGAGTAGAGATTTGGAGTTGTATCGCGAGCCTATCAATTAATCCTATTTGATAACCAAAAAGATTCAAATAAAAGTGCAGTAATAGAATAAATTAATGCAGATCGTAAAAAGAATAATCTACTTAGCGGTATGAGATACAGATCTTTAAAATAAGTTAAAGCCTAATAGCCTATAGGATAGTTTAAAACTTCTGCTATACAACTTTTGCAACAGTGTAAGCAAGTTTGTTAACTAATAACTAAATAAAATGTCTGTTTGTAATCGTTTTTCGTATAAGGTTACAAAATTGTTTCATTTTGATTATTACATTATTACACACTAGGCGTAGCCTGTATCGTGGCTATCAGTGAATACGATTGACATACGCCTAGGACTTAAACTATTACAAAATAATTCAAATGTTAAACTTGGAAAGAGTGTTGATTTGGAATAAATGGAAGCTAAATTGATACCACGTGCTCTTGGCCTATGGAGTTAGTATTTTATAAATGTTACTTCAAATTTGATGACAATGAATGCTTATGATAAGTGCCTCAGGTCAACATTACAGATACCAACAGTCAGTCAGTTAAATATTTTATATTTTTTACTACCAGGTAGCAGTCTATATAAGGAGTAAATTAGGCAATTTTTTTCTTTCAGAAAAACCCTATAAAATTTTGTGCGGTCCGAGAATCGAACCCACTAAGGCAGCGCTTTTCAAATTCCACGCGAACGAAGTCGTGGCTAGTACCTAATAAGTCGTATTAGTGAGAATAATAATAATAATATGTTTTGATACAATTTTATCAATTAGTAATGTAGATCCAATACTGTAGTGGCTAGCTAAACTGTGGGTTTTAGAATAGGGAAATATACTTAAAGATATAAATAAATATATATATTATTTATTGAAGTACTCAGACCACTGCAAATCTCATTCATGCAACCAATATTTGCATCGAGAAGGACGTGCAACCTGCGAGTCCAGACGTTGCAATCGATTATCCGCCACGCTTTAGATATTATTGCACTGTGGAAGAAGTCGTTAGAAATACACTTACATACAGATATGTATATGTATAGAAGTCTAAGTATACTAGTATACAGTGCGTGCATACAAATGAAAATTAAATTGAGAGAGAGCGAAGCTCACTAATTTCGACTTGACTTATGGCCACCAGGTTACAAATTAACGCGTTTGTATATAACAAACAACGAGGATATTAAACACTATGAGCTGCGGCGTTGGAGTATTTCGGTGCACCTCGCAACAGCTAACTCATATTTCTCGTTGCAATCGTGTGAGTCAAGGAATCAAGAGTTTGTTGGAAGTGCTATATTAAAGATTAAATTATATAACAAAAACACGGTTACGCAAAAAAGTAATTGTATTATATCAATAATATAATTAATACATTTCAATGCTTTATGATCGCAGGTTTATTCTTTCAAAATAACATATATTTTCATCACATAAAGAACATTTCACCGCTTACTAAAAGATTAGCTCAATACACTCTCAATTTATCCATCTAATTCCTAAAGTTGATGGCTAAAGACAAGGTTGTAATAGGGATTACATAAGTGGGGCTAAAATGATAGTCAGCAAAATGTAGGCGTTTGACATGCGTCTCCCATGCGTGTACAGGGACAGAGGTTTTGTTCTTTCCTATGAAAATACACTTCAGTAGCAATATTGCCTTATTTTTTGCTTTTTGTAATATAATATAAAGGGATTCAAAACTCTAAAATGTAAATGAAACACAAGTGTATTACTATTAATCAAAAAGAGTGAAAAACTGACAATGGAGCACCATTGTCAGTTTTTCACTCTTTTTTTCAGAGTTTTCTAACAAAATAATTAGCAAATTATTTTGTTAGAAAACTCTAAACTAAACTAAAAATCACATAAAAATTGTTTAGTTTCCTATTCTGAAAACGTAATATTTGACAAGACATTTTTTTCAGCGATTTTTAGTATAGTAGAGAGTTTTCGAACAACAGAATTAGCACCAATATCCATCTGCCCACCTTTAATTATGGATACATCTTTCAAAGAGGTTACAAAGAAAAAGGTTGTGAAGATTTCGTTCATCAAGAACTGTACCAGTAACAGTTCCAGAGAATTCATATAACATCAATGAGGAGTTATGAGATTGGCACACGGGTAAGCTTCGCTTTCAGCTTTCAAAGTCAAAATTATAAAACCCGAAATAAGTTTCAAACATTGTTGGCAATTTATGGGAACGTGGTTTTTAAGAGATTCATTGAATTCATTTTACTGCCGACCTTTTCTGTTGGTGCATTTTCAAAGTGATTCGCTTTTTTATAAAAAAAAATACTGTTAATTTTACTTGTTAAGTACTTTACATAATTTTTAGACTTTATATCATGACAATTAGGAAGGAATATCAACTATATACGTTAATTTACGTGGGAATCATTTTATTATGAGTAACATAATAATATTCTAAAGAACCTAAGCACGATATTAGTGTCTTGTACACTTACAAGACAGTATGTCTCAGTACCGCGCTTCATGTTGCGACTGCGGTGATGTCACCTATTGGATTTTGTTTTTTTTTCTGTTGTCATCATAAATCATAAATTTTAGAACGTTCTAAAATTTATGATTTATGAGAGAAACTAAGCCACAGCATGCTTACACTACTGTTCAGTTGATTCTATAACAAAATATAAACTGAATCTGACTCATATTTGTTGATATTTATGTTATGAAAAATATTAAGAATTTAAATTAATAAGTATTTAATGACTCAATATCCTGTTTTAAGGTTTCAGTAAATTATTTGATTTGAATTGAAAAAATGTAATAAAGTAACGTTAATAAATAGTGAAGAAAAATATGAAAATAGAGTTATTTTAACTGATAAGTATACGTAAGCCCGACTTTCTAGTATGTCAAACATAATTTGAAATATGCTACAATAGCATTTATACCTTAAAAACGTTACCACAATTTGTCTGTTATCTTATGTTATACGAGTATTTCTCGCTAGATTGACTGATAGCTAGATTGACTGATAGAATACTTATATATATTTTTTTTTAAATACACACATATTATACAAAGAGAACACCCAAACTCCGAAACAAATATTTGCAGACCATAAAAACATTTGGTACGACCCGGAAATCGAACCTGAGACCTCAGCACAGCAGCCGCATAATTTTAATACTAGCCAAATAATAATACATTCTTTCTCGTATCTAAGAACAAATTGCAAAACACAATCATGTGTAATAGTTCTTTGTTATAGTTACGTAGTGTTCAGTATTGTATTAAGAAGATCTTGTCTTTGTAACTTTACTCATAATAAACATATGAAACAAAAGTTCTCGAATTCTAATAAGGCTGTTTATTAAGGTCTGCCAGTAATACAACTAGTATTCTTCGATCTCTAGCCTATAACCTCTTTCGTAATTGCTGTGTACTTCATTAAGTGTCAAATTTTCGGTAAACTAACGATAATGTTTTTTTTTATGCCGTATGTAAAAGTATAATTAGTTGAAAACTCCAAAATACTTACCGGCGGGTACGATCTGGAACACACAAGGTTCTAGTTGTCTGCCCACGGTGTTAGCTCCTCTACAGCTCAGAGTTCCATAGTCTCGTTCACTCTGCGGTTTGTAACTCAGCTCGCTCGTACTTCCATTTGCAGTTCCTGCACAGATTTTACAGGTAAGAACAAAAGCTACTATTTATATTGTAAATTTATTTCAGGTTCATTAGTTTTGTCGATAGAACCGCTCTACAAATAGGGTAATAAAATGTTTTTACATTTGTATTATCTGTTTAGTCATAATATGACTATGCTATTTGATGCACGCGGGGTGGCGCCTTTGGCGGTCAAGAAATCGAACTAAACTCTAAGACAAATACATATTCACCCTAGCGACTACAACCCCGCATTAAGGGGGTGTCAAATAGTATTAGAAAACAAGTTATTTATATCTCGTTAAGGAAAGATCCAATTCATATAAGGTAATTAAAGTTACTAGAGAAAATAACAATAATATTGTTGAACTGTTAAATAATACCTATGTAAAACTTTTTATTAAACTTGGAAAGTGTGTTGGTTTGCGTTAAATGGAAGCTAAATTGATACCACGTTCTCTTGTCCTATGGAGTAAGTATTTTATAAATGTTACTTCAATTGCGATGACAATGAATTGTTATAATAAGTGACTCAGGTCAACATTACAGATACCAACAGTCAGTCAGTAAAGTCAGTACCTTAGTTTTTATCATCAGAGAAAAGGGAACTCCTCATCAATCAACCAAAACAGACACGACGCTTTACACACAGATTGAATTATGATAGCCTATTCTAAACGTCACCATTTTTGTGGAAACCCTCTCGGGCCGTCACCCCACCGGGGATTGCGGCGAGGTGGTTGGTCGGAATCGGGCCGACTAAAACCACACGGTGAGCCACTTTGCGCCTGTAATAGGAGGGATCCCGGAACTGCTGTTATTAAGACATCCGGGTTCTAAAAGTCACCATGACCTAACCAAGGCTATCCAGGCTTTTGTTCTAGGTAAATTCTCAACAGTCAAGCGCACAATCATAAACTTTATATAATTGAAGGATAATAGAATAGTCTGAGTTTCCCCTTGACGTGGCCTTGCACTATGTTCACCGAAGTTTTTACGCGGTCATCTCGCCACTTCCTTCTACGCTGATTCTTGTGGGTTCGATCCCCACATGGGACAACACTTTATGTGATCCACAAATTTGTTGCTCTGCGTCTGAGTGTTCTTTGTGTCCGTGTTTGTAAAGTCCCAAGCGACACAGGATATTTTGCTAGTGCGGAAGTTGTCTTTAAAAAAAACAGAATATAAAGTATAAAAATATCAAGAGAATGAAGGTTTTAATTGAATTCAAATCTTATCGTTTTATTAATTAAAATAAAAGTTTAGTTTTGACATATTTTTCCAAGGAATATCTTTTGTAATTTAGCTTTTACGAGTACATCAACTACTACAGATATTAATTTAATTTGTAAAAGAAATTGACATTGTAAAATGACTACTTTGATGTCTTTTGACATGTGTTATTTCTATAGTATTTGACGATGACATTCTGATTCAGAAGATCTGATGGTAAGTGACTACCGCTGCCTATGTACACCTGCACGTCAAGCGTCAGAAATGCGTTGTTGCCCTTTAGGTCCTTTCCCCCACTCACTCGATGAAACGAAAGGACACGTTACGACACGACGTTGTAACAACGAAAAAATTGCTTAACGAGGATTTTTTGCTAGCCTGTAACATCATTTCGGTCTAAGCAGCCCTTATATGCCGAAGCCTTGATCTCCTATAGTTAGAATTGCTCTTAATTACAATTAAAATAAAAACATATGACAATAGCTTCCGTACACTTTAATATTTAGTAGGACTGTGCCACCATCTTGTTTCTTTTGTCATGATAATAATATATAAATATAATCAAATCAATGATCGTAATCAAATAAAGATGCTTCGAGCTAAGTTGAAGTATATTTCTTGTGGTAGTTCATAAAAAAATATTTTATTATTCTCTGTCTTGACAATATATATCGATGAAATACTACTTCGTAATTGAAACTTATTGTTAACAACGACAGAATATTGAAACGTTAAAGCAGCTATGAAGACAAGCTCCTTTTACGATTACGATACGGTATTTTTTCCAGACATTTCTTATGAAACGGAAGAGCTCAAGCCATTACTAATTTTGTGATCTATATATATATTCTTTAAGGTATTTTTTCAATCATAGTTTTTATAATATTTATTTAAAAGGCAAATGTAAAAATAATTAGCCTTAGGATTTTTTTTTGCTAAAATATCCCTTCTCCATAAGTTTAGGCGGTGAAATGATTACTTTAGGAAAAACAAAAGTAATATGTTAACTTCCCTAATTATCTGTAAGATTTACAAGTACATGTTTTTTTCTAGTGAAAGAAATATCAAGTTTTGTAACTTTTCATGGTTTCGTTCGGAATTAAAGTAGATTTCATCTATAAATTTAAGTATCCCGTGAGAACAGCACTTTTATTCTAGATGAAAGTCATCTTATCTGCTTTTCTGTACTCCTGGCTATATATACATACCTATATATATATATATATATATGTAAAGAAAATAATAAACAATATCGGATGGATTCCTAATATTAGTTAGGATTAAGAATTGGTGTTGCTTATTTTAATAAGAAAAACATCGGTTCTGGATACGTTAATTTTTTGTTTTAACATATGACGTATTTGTATGGCTAATATGGCTTCAGATAAATGGCAACTGCTTTTTAACATATTTTTTTAAAGGCAACTTCCGCACTAGGAAGAAATCCTGTGTCGCGGACTTTACAAACATACATGAAACAGACACAAAGAACACCCAGGCTCAGAACGACAATTTTTGGATCACACATAGTGTCGTCCCGTGTGGGGATCGAACCATCAACTCTCAGCGTAGTAGGAAGTGACGTGGCGTGGCCTCTTAAACCACTGCGCCATCTGTGCAGTTGTTTATGTTATAGATGATACCAGTTACTAAGACAAAGCAACCAAGCACAATCTCTTGAGATACGACAGTTTCATATTTGAACTTACCAAATTTCAACGGTGATACATCGAGGCTTTCGCCACTGTTGTTAAACTGCCAGAAGAATGTGACATCAGGTGGATTAGCTGTTACTGAGCAGCGCACACGAAGCGATTCCTCCAGCTGTGCTCCTAATACTTGTGGCGAGGGATGAGCGCAGACCGGAGCATCTGTGTTGCCAGAAAAAATATGTTTTTATTAGCATTGTGATAAAATATTTCGTTAATCAAGGTACACCGAGGTATACCTCGGACGCAGTGCTTTTTTTTTCTAAATGTAAGGTATTTTCTGTATATCTATATCTCTGATCATGTCTACGCAAAAAATTCATGATCATTGGTTAAGCATTAAAGGCGATATGAATGTAGTATGAAATGTTAAGGAACAAACTTATTTTCTATATTATATTTGTATCTAGGCTAAAAAACTATGTCACGATGAAAATGTTTTAAGGTGATCAAAAACTTTGATACAATAAAGAAATTACCTTCCTAAAAGCTGTAATAACATCTCTGTGACAATTGTGAATCCCCACTCGATCCCTTGGTAGTAAAGTTTTGAGAAACATTTTTATATGATACTCACGTACAACTGGTTTTTTTTTTTTAATTGAGGTTTTGTTATAATGGTGATATTAACTTTACATTCAAACATACTGCAAACAAAAAAGAATTTCGACCGAAGGCTAAATAAAATTAGTTTACGGAGAGCGTTCTTCAATAGTCAGAAAGTCATTAAAATAAATTGCACCAATTTATCTAATTTGTAGTGACGGTACAGTACTCCCATTAGAAGTATTAAATAGAAGGTTGACAAAAAGTATCACTTGAGATCTGAAGTTGCCTACCTCCCTAGTTAAGATCATCATTAGTGTCAGTTTTGATCATGAAGCATATTTTAAGTTAAATAATTCATAAATACTAAAGTTACAGTTTTCTGAGCTCTCGAAAGACATTTCGTTAGGAATGTTATAGAGCTACAAAAATACATAGCGGCTAACAACAATCTTAATAGTTTAATGTTCAATGTTTTAAATTATTACTTAATGAAGTGTCAGAAGAAATAAATACTTAAAACCTAAAGTATCTGTTCTTTTTCTCACGTACATATTAAATGTCATCATCATCATCATCAGCCTATCACAGTCCACTGCTGGACATAGGCCTCTCCTATTGCACGCCACTTAGATCGATTTTGGGCTTCTCGCATCCAGCTCCTGCCAGCCATCTTGTGCAAATCGTCACTCCACCTGACCTGTGGGCGTGCTACACTACGTTTGCCGAGACGCGGTCTCCACTAAGAGTTCGTTTTCCCCAACGGTTGTCGGTTGTGCGGCTAATATGACCAGCCCACTGCCACTTCAGCTTGCTGATCCGGTAGGCTATGTCGGTGACCTTGGTTCTCTGCCGGATCACCTCATTTCTGATGCGATCCCTTAGAGAAACGCCGACCATAGCCCTTTCCATAGCACGTTGAGCGACTTTGAACTTGTGGACCAGCCGTACCGTAAGTGTCCACGTTTCGGCTCCGTATGTCATGACGGGTAGGACGCACTCATTAAAGACTTTCGTCTTAAGGCACTGTGGGATCGACGATGAGAAGACTCGACGTAGCTTTCCAAACACTGCCCAACCCAACTGAATTCTTCTGTTCACCTCGACCTATTAAATTATCCGTCGTATTAAATGTAGTATTAAGTAAATATTAATTGGATCTGTTAAAAATATAATAAGGAACTTATTCAGTGTTTTAGCTAATATTATGGTGGAAGAGCACTGTTGCCTGAGATACTGGTGTAAATCCTAATTCAGGTACAGATGCAGAATGTAAATTAGACACAACTCTCCTACTGAATAAAGATATTATTATTATTTTTACATAGTCGCTAATTTACAACGTCGTATTCCCCTTAGAATTTTCTCATTAGCAAAGCGGATTATTTCTTGTTACACACGACAAACATAGCTAAAATTTTTCAATATTCTACGTGGAGTTAAATGAACAAATTCAAAGCGTCCTTGTATTTGACTAACATCGAGGCAGAAACATCTCAAGCAAGAATGCGATCATTAATAAAGAGCTAAAAGAGCCCCAAATACAGTTCGTTAAATCATAACAGAAGTTAGACGATATATAAATTTTATTGTCCAACTGTTCCCCTCTAGAGCAGGCGCAGTCGGCGACTGTGATTCATTTAGATATCTACTTGCAAAACTGCGCTCCCTAGCTGCCTTAGATTTTCATTAAACTCTCAAATATTTGCTCGCGTTAAGCAGCTCGGTAGGATTACTGTAGCGGGAATATGAAAATATGTATGTGAATTAATGTTACACGGGCGCCAGCGATCGTGTACCGCGTGCGAATAACAACATACAATTTCTTTTCTTTAGATTTGTGACGGTGAAGATCAATAAAATGAAAACAAAGTGTCCATAGCGAGCAGTGCAAATGTAAAGTAGCGGTGCTTTACTATGTAGCAAGGTAATGTATCCAACATTTGTTGCCGATCGGCCGCTTGCATCCCGCTGAGTGTGAAGTGAGATCAATCTTCGTGACTCTCAAGACTGTTTACACTGCTTTTCATACTTAGTATAGTTCACTAATAAAACTTTGTGGATACGTTGATCAGTGTTACATCAATCGTCCTGGATAATATGTAGTTTACACTGTGTATTGATCAATAGAGTTTTTCTATATATACGTTTGGGTAAGGCTGTTAAATTATCCGCAGTGTGATTAACAAAATGACAGCATCGCCACATAATACGGTATTAAAATAACTAAATATGTGCAAACGTTATAAATACGCTCATCTGAATGTCGGTAATTTGCAATTATGAAGGCTTCTGAATATTCGTCGCAGATTTCATAATGTCATTAGCGCCTGTTGATGAATATAACACAATTTGATTAAAGTTGATATCCGCTTGTCAGTTTGTAGAAAAACTGGTAGTATTATAGAAATAACTCAAGGAAGAACTCATTATAAAATCATTAAAGTAATGTAATACATTAGGTATAATGACGGATCCAACAAATATCCTTAATGTAGTTAATGGCCCATGTTCACCATTACACAGATTTATTTATTAATCAATACAGTAACACCAGCTTGTTGAGTGTAACCAATCTTTGTTAAAATCTTTGTAAGAATGATTGATACTGCAGACGGCAGACGACGAAAAGCCTCCAGCGAAATGAAATGTAATTTATTAGCACTCTGTTTATAATAGGGAACGAAAGACTCGTCGAATCGTCCCGGGGAGTTGTCTACGTAACAATTTACTTATTGCTGTGCTTTACTTTTAGACGTAGCCATTTTCTCGGTTGTAACAGTGTTGTAGAGCGATATTGATAACTTCGAATTTGTTTTCCTATATCAGCTAATCAATCAGTGCTTTTTTGCTATATATTTAAAAAAAAAACATCAGCTACTTTGAAAATTATATTTTAGTTGTTTAGGTACCTGATATGTTACATTTTAATTTGAAATATAGCGTATATTTAGTATAATAATAATATTCTACCAAAAAATTATGGCTTAGTTACATTAAACATCGATAAGGGTATTTAAGTACTTGTATTTGATTGAAAAGAGTAAACCTATCTCCCAATTAGTTATTTACATTACTATTTTGTATATAATTACCCTAATTCATTAAAAAAAATGTTGAACCGACTACAATTCTAACCAAGGGCACTAAAACTTAAAAAATAATGACTAATCTAGTTGATAAGGGAAATAAGTGCGACGTAAGTTCGGAAGAAAATTGGTAAGAAGCGATACTGCAAACATATGCAGAACTTGCTTCTAATCAATTTTCATGAAACTGGTTCAATGGGAAGTATCCAATAGGTTTTGATTTATATGTAAAGTTTAAAAATATGTTTAAATATAAGTTTGAAATGGCCATGCCTTCTGATTGCATGAATTTATAAGTTTGTTGTTTTATTTATTTTTTCAAACTTTATGCACTTTTGTACATCGGCGTACTTAATGCCCAAGGCATTCTCTTCCAGGCAACCTTTGGGTGGTGTAGAAATCATATAAGGTAGGTGCACAGAGATTACATATTATGACATGTAATATATAAAAATATACACGGTTCACTACATACATACACATATACACAAATACAACACATCACATCATACAAATACATATATAAATATATAAATATCTTTTTAAATATACATGTTATATTCGTACACTATGTATACCGGAATATGAGGTGTACTATGGACTGGGTAGTTCTGCCATTTTATTAAGAAGGAGATCATGCACCTTCTTTTTGAATACAAAACGGTTAGTGGACATCCTGATTTCGAGCGGGAGCGCTTTCCAGAGTAGTACTGCTTGAACAAAGAACGAAGAGTTCACGAAGTTGGAGTTGTGGGAGGGACATAAGAGAAGCAGATTATTTTCTGAGCGAAGCTTTCTGTCGTGATTAGAGGACAGGTAACGCAGGTAGGGAGCGAGTTAAGTAGGTGAGGTCGGTGAGTTTAAGAGTGAAAATAGAGTGGTAAGTGCACGCTGATGGCGACGTAGGCGAATAGGTAACCAGTTTAATTGGGAGCGCAAAGCAGACACATGGTCATATTTCCGAAGATTGAAAATGTATCGAATGCAGTTATTGAGAAGATGGTCCAGTTTATTAAGAAGGTCTGCATTCAGTTCGAAGTAACATACATCACCATAAGTCAATTATTGGAATTATTAAGGGCTGCATGAGTGTGGTTTTAGTTTTAGGAGGCAGGAAATTCTTTAGATGATATAATGTTCGCAGGTTTCCAGTTACTTTCTGGCTCACGTAAGTAACTTGAGCTCGCCAATCGAGGGTTGAGTCGATGAGCAAGCCCAGGTCTTTGACTGTAGGGCTGAATGGAATAACTGTGCCATCAAAGACGACCGGTGAGATAGAGGTAGTATCCAATGTGCTCATTAAACGTTTGCTGCCTACTACAATTAATTATTGCCTGACATTTGGTTGGGTTAATCGACAGTCCAAATCTCATCGACCAGGATTTTATGGCTTCTAGGTCCCTGTTCACTTCGTCAATAGCCTGCGTTAGTTCCTCCACTCTTGCTTGTGAATACAGCTTCAGATCATCGGCATACAGGTGATACGCACACTGAAGATGTTGAGTTATGAGATTAATAAATATTGAGAAAAAAAAGGAGATAAATGCCGCCTTGTGGGACGCCAGCATAGAGGTCGCACCAACTTGATGATCTATCATCAACACGTTTTCACAGCTTTAAGGGACCGCAGACAAAAGTATTGGCAGTTAATTTAACTTGGCACCACGTGTTCCTAAGAAAATTAGTCTTGGCAGATAGACAAATGGATAAACTGTCCGATAGTCAGGCAAACGGACGGTTATTGACATTATCCCTTAAGGATTCATTTTCTCTTTTGAGGAACGAAACCCTAGCAGTATTAACTTACTTTAATGGACTTATATCATTATGAACTGAAATTAATAATTACCCACTTACTTAATTTGCCACCATTAGGGATGGTATTTATTTTCTTAACATTTCAATGGGACCAAAGGCGAAGTATAAGCCTTCCAAATTAAAGTAATAATTTCCTGATCGGTTTACAAATGCAGAAGTGCTGAGGAAATTAACATGGAAATAATTCCGTAACAAACACTTTTTTCTATTTGTCTGAATGTTTTGCAATCTCATTTATTACTTTTTGTTCACATTTCCGTGTGAACAAAAAGTTCACAATCTAACTTAGGTTGGCACATCCGGGTTTCCACACAAGAGACGTCGGTGTACCAGGGCTATCCTAGGGTATACCTGGTTCCCCGGCTACTAGTACCTGTTAACGGCGTGCGGCGTATTGGTCGGCTCGAGTCCGACATAATCACCCACTGGTAGGTGGTATCCGACGGGAGTTCCGCAGAGGAAAAGAAAGAGTAAAAAAAGCAATAAAAAAAAATTCAGAAGTTGGATACAACAATGGAACAAATATATATACATACGTAGTTACGAACTCCTGTTTCATTACTGTATCAATCAAACAAACTGTTTTTAACCGACTTCCAAAAACAGGAGGAGGTTCTCAATTCGATTGTTGATTGTTATCTTAGAACTCCGTAATTTATAAACCGAAGTTATTATTTGTTTTCATTTGTAAGTTCATACTTCTCGTTTGATATTATAATGGTGAGTGGTAGTAAGGAATTAAGAACACAGTATATTACAATACATTATGTTGGCGGCGCATTGAATTCAGTAAGACTTTTGTAAAAGTCATAATTGTAACTTAATTTTAAGTTTTTTTTTAAAATCAATTCTTAACCTTTACCTACAACAATCAAACACAATTTTTACACAATTATACACTCTGCATAATTTACGTACAAAAAATTAATTCCTCACTGACCATAAATAATTAATTTAGTCAACCAATCAAAATTACGAAAGTTGAGAGCCTATAATTTTGTTCTATTTAACTTTAAAATTATAGAGTATTTTAACAGTTACGTATCTAATAACTTTTAAGGTACAATGTCAAACGCCACCTATATACTCGTAGACAAATACTCAATCTATTACAGAATTAATACAGAAACAATTTATTATAGTTTGTCAATTCACTTTTTTGTCATGTCTGTGATTCGCGATGAATTTTCTACACAATTAATTTATTACGGTTCTAAATAAGAGACAAGACACCTGGTTGGTTCAGCGAAATTTTACGTGACAATACCATCTTCAAAGAAGCTAAATGTTAAGTGTTTATTGCTAGTGTTTATACACCAGTACCTTATCATCACCCTGTAGTGATGACGGAATAACAAATATACCTTTCCTCAACGGTGGCTCGATTTTTGATTAAATTAATAAAATTTAAAACTTGAGAAATGAAGAAAGGAAGATGTCATTTATTTTATCATACACTGAGACATCAATGCATGAAGGAAGGGTATGCAAACAAATTAATATGACGCTTAAAAAAAAAGCAAAGAAAGAAATCGATGGAATAAAATAATACACATCACACATCTTACACATCAACGGTCGTTAATAGTCCACTGCTAGACATAGGCATCTCCTTAGAATGGAGGTTTTTACCTACTATGAGTAAACCATGCTAGCTTAACGAATTGGTATAGGGTTAGTGTCAAGTTTTCCTGCTCTTTGCAGTGCTGTTGTCCTGCGAAGTTAGCTCCCCTAGTCGCCTGTTACGATACCCACGGGATGAAATATACGATAATACACAAAAAATACAATGTTGGGAATACAAGAGATGTTTTAATTACAACGTACTTACATTGTATACTCAGGTGTGTAGATTGGCTGGCTGTTTCACCAAGTGCATTAGTGGCTCGACAGGAATAATCACCTCCATGGTCCCTTGTTACCTTCTGCAGCACCAGGGACTTGGTGCTTACAATTATACCAGAAACCACGTTGTGTAGAACTGGCTTGTCCTGAACAAAACAAAAATAACACTAATTGAAACATAAACATATTAGTAAAAAGTTTTAGGATAACTACTCATTAATCGACTTTAAAAAAAGGGATGACTCTAAATTTAGTTTTATTTTCTTTTGTTCTCTGGATCAGATCTCTGTCATTTATTACCTAATTTTGATGGTTATTTTGGAAAGGTATTCTTCCAGTTTGACCCATATAAATTTGAAGGAAATTACCATCGCAAGGTTGGAAAATTAAAAAATGAAGAAAACAGTTTCTTACTATTCACCACGCTGTAATCTAGTGGCATTCAAGTTAGTAAAGCTTTTTTTAAAAGTGTATTATTCTGATTAAAAATAAGGTGGCGAGAACTTTATGGATGGAAGAGATAGGATAGAAAGCGTACTAGCACAAGAACAGCCGCTTACCGAGAGTTGTATCATGTGTTTAAAACTGCTATGTAAATTATGTGCTGTGAACTCGAATATTTAACATACGACGACCAGGTTCCACGAGGTGGACCGTGATCTTTTACCGACATATGTGGTACACTTTTCTGAGATATGCTGAAGCATATTTAACACTATATTGGATTACTACTTGACTTTCTAAAAACTGGAGCTTACTTTTCTATTAAAAAAATAAATAAGTTTGAACAAAAATACAAAATACCATTTTATAAGCCTTTATGTTAACAAAATCTTTCTAAAATGAAGTGTGTACAATTTATGTACTTTCTAAAGTTATGAAATATATGTAAACCCACACCCTTTTTACCTATAAACTTTATTCAAGATTAGATTACTGTAATCCACTCTTGAATGTTATTTCTTTATAACCCTTTCCAATATTGTTTGATATTGCCTTGTTTAGTCTGCTCACATTTAGGCTCATAAAAAGGTCACATATTTTATTGTGAATGTAGTTTACGAATACTTTTAGTCTTAATCAATATAGCTTATCTTATCCTTTTTTTACAAGTTTTTATTTAATTTGCAACATTTGTTAGTTTAAGTCAAACCTTGTCTGCTGAAATAAACCACTTTCGCTTATCTCATAGTTAAAATTTCAAATGGTTTTTGTGTCACCTCTAATAACAATGTTTATGATAAATATAAATATATTTTATTTTTTATATAGGATATTTTATAATAAACATGACCTGGTGACTAAGGATTTGGGAAATTCAACGATCAGGAAACTTTAGACATGCAGTGAATTATAATAATAATTCGGACATCTGACACGCAACGCTACCTAGTTTCAAACTAAGCAGAGCTTGTACTATGAAAGCTAGATATACTGATAGAATACTTATATTTATACGCATATCCTACCACTGCAATACCGAGGCAGTCCATTACGATAGTTTGTCGCCTAAAGCTCACCACAACCTGGATACTGTAAGGTTTGTTATTTAGTTTACAGAAACTTAAGAGATCGTTTTACAAAAACAACAATTCAGTAACTTACTAGTTTCGTGTAAAGTTTAATGAACAAGCTATTTGAATTATATAAATATACTACTATATTTATGAATGATGCTGAATAGAACTCATTGGTAGCGATACCGTGGCATTAACATTTTTAAATTACAATGACTTTTCTAAAATAAAATACAACCTACTAAGTGATAGATAACGGCAATACTTTAACATCACGACTAAACGATTTTATCAAGAAACAATATCATGATAAAAGTCTATTAAATATAGTGTTTCATTAGGATGTACCACAATATTCTAACGTGAGGTCGTGACAAAAAGGTTTAACTAAATGTAAGCGGTATTTAGCCAGAATTATGTATTGATAAGCATGCCTACAACCAGCTGTTTAACACTCAGTTTTGTTAACTCGACAATAAACACAGGGTTCTATGAATGATAAATTCCATTCACTTAAACATAAAGTTTATTATGCAGTCGACATGGATTTATATAAGTAATATTAACCAAGAAATCAATCACTTTGCATAGATAAATTAGAGCTTCATTATGTTCTAAACACAGCTAAAGGACTGGATCGAAAAATAGGTATGATTTAAAATGTGACAAGTATAAGCAATATGCTTGTACTTGTCACATTTTAATATTTTAATTACGTAGAACTATGTGCGTGTTTACTCACGGATAATGTTTTTTAAAGTATTAAGCACGAGAACAGGTTACGTCACATTTAAAACTTTTGCTTTAAATTGTAATTTTTATGTTCAGTTAAACATCGATAAAATAAAATATTGTTGGTTTTCAACAAAACTAATTAGAATTTTTAATAGCCGATAATATAATCGGCAATTTCACAAGTTAAGTTTTAATGGACTCCTAACACTTTTAAGAATGACTAATGATATTGACGACGGTGACTCGGATACTTACAAATCCAACTTCAAGTCCCCTGTAATCGAGAATAATGAACTGAAGATCGTGTTACTCGAAGTGGCCAAATAATTTTCATATAGGTACCTATAACTATTCTGTATTTCTCGTGTGGGAATCTGAATTATAGAAATTCCCATACTAAAATGATTTGAAATTGCAAAAGAAAAACTCTATTCTACTACTAGAATTCATGATAATCATACCATGTTTTTCAATATTAGAAAATTACAATATAGTATAGCCACAACGGTGTTTGAGGCGTACGGTAGTTGACAGTGTTACATTTGTTCATGATTAGGTCCTTTTCCTTTTCGGAATCCTAATGATTTTTACAAAATACAAGTAGCTTAAGTAAAGGTTTCGTCAGAATTTGAGACATTTACCAAGGTAAACAATTTCGTATGTCCAAATAAAATATTAAATGCCTTCAGTCTGTCATAACTGATTTGCTCCAAATCTACCGGAATCTTAAGTTGTAATTTTAAAGAAATACAAATTCTTATAACATAAACACAGATGTGAATAGTAAATGCAAATTCTAATTTAAAAAATACTACTTGTAATGTTTGACAAGTGAAAAGGTTGTTGAGATTTCTAGTTTTACGGTTTTTTTAAATAGATCATAGTTGATACAATGGCCGCACCTCCGTCTAGTCCTAATTCCCTATTTTCCACAAAGGTCATGAACTCTTCTGTGATTGGGTAACCGATATTCAAATGTAATTTAGATTGTACGATGACGGTGGACATTTTGTTTTAGTGTGTTCGTAATCAACATTCATATCTAATGTACTTTTTATGTATTGTTGCGTGTGTCACACTTAACATTTCTTTAAATAGATGAGGTTATGAAAGAAAATTATCGAACAAAAAGCGTGAGTAAGAACATAAATTGTGTTATTTATTTAATTACAACCTATAGAGGCGTGATACTAGATGCTTTACAGTATTACACAATATAGTAACTAGGCGTTTCCTGTCACGTAGAATTTAACTTACTTCGTTGCTTCTTTTTTGATAAAATTAGGACATAAGCTCTGTCTCTCTAATCTCATTTGAAGACCAAAGGTAGTGATCAGAGATTGGTACGTCAACACTTCGCAACAAGCATCCTCGGAGAAAATGTATACTTCACCGCGCTTAGGCATTTTCACATTCCGTTAGGGTATTTTAAGGCCTCGCCTTAGAGTGCTTCAAACATAGGACTGCGTTTCATGCGTTTATAAAACTGAAGATAAATATATTGTGACTAAGTACTAGAACATTAATTGTATGGAGTGGCTAGTATGTATTCCCGACTCCAACCCGATCCAGGATGCTTGGGTCGAGTTCGGACGATGAGTGTGGTAACAGTACAGTATTCCCTAAGAACTCTCTACTCACCCTATATTTTCTAACATAAGAAATTCTGAGTGCAGGATGCCAAGTTAAAAAAAAGGTGTTTTTCTTATTTTGTTTAATTTGAGTTGAACTTGAGTTTTTCGAAAATTTCTTTACGCACGCTTGAGGGAGTAAGCTTGTGAATATGTGACGAGAGCGTTACGAAAAGTGCGATCGGGCGAGGCGAATGGAAGTTGAGAGGGAGATATAAGTCAGTTAAGATAGAAAGAGAGAGAGTTACGTTTCGTATAATACTGTAAGGGCAAGAGAGAGAGAGGCGCGAGCACACATTTTCTATTTCTCTTTCTCTCATAGCTAAGAAATTTTACTTCAGTCGTGTGGCCTAAAGCACACTCGCTTTTTTAATAATGTAATATAAAATGAAAAATAAAATGTATTACTTCATTTAGGTAGTATTTCGTTGTCTTTTAAATACTGCACTGCACAGGTGGCGTAGTGGTTTAAGCGCTGTCTACTGCGCTGAGTGGTTGTGGGTTCAATCCTCACATGGGACAACATTTTGTGCGCTCCATAAATAGTTGTTCTGAGTCTGAGTGTTCTTGAGTGAGTGTTTATTTCATGTATGTTTGTAAATTTCCCCGCGACACAGGAAATATTCCTAGTGCTATTTTTTTTAAAAAGAAGAACATTTTTACTCTAAATATCACTTTATTTATTATTATTTAAATGTATTTATAGTGTTAATAATAATTAATATTATTGGCCAAAATACCGGCAACGAAACTAAAGTTATGGCTAATGCGCTGGAATTGCGATCATTTAGTTGAAAATTCAAACCTCATTCAGTATAATACCTAGATAACCCGTTCGTAATATAGTTAAGAAGCACTTAACTTAGCAGGAGGATTTAACAAGAATGCTAGTAATATGTGAAACACGTTGCTAATATTCTCAACAACTAAATTTACCCATCTAATAAAGTTGCTATAGGCAATAAATAAGAGTGATAAATAGGATAAGATACCGTGGAGAAGACCTTGATGAATTGTGTGCTAAAGTTGAAGGTTTGCTGTTTATTGTTGGCCCCAAAATAGATTATGTCGTCACCTTATGGACGTTGATGTAATGATTCTCTTAATGCTTGAAAACTAATATTTAGTTAATTTAGCTTATGCTCCTATGGTAGGATTGTTTTAAGTGCTTTTGAAAGAAATTAGTCTAAACTACACTCGAGAGCAATATACCCGGATAGTATAAAATGATCCAGATCTCACAACGACACCTGAATATCTTAGACCCTAAGAAAAGTGGCTTATTGGAACAAATTGTATTTAATTTGAATTTCGAATATTGTATTGAACATAAATACAACATATTTTTCTTATATGAAACTATGTATCCATAAATCAAAGTTTCGTACGAGTATTATTTTGTTTTCATCATTTTAATATGTTTCTAAAATATACTACATTAAAATATTAATAAAGTTAAACTTGATTATTAGCAGTCCACCATGACTGATGGTCAGCAGTCATGGTGTAAATAACATACATAAATTTCGTCGTAAATTTTATTTATAACGCAAATTTCAAAATAGACATGAGTCTGCAAGACTGCACTATATACTTATAAAATTATATAGGGATCGAAATACCTTGTGATTTGATAATATTCATTCATGTATGAAGGGTTATTAAAATAATCAAAGTATTCTATGCAAAGGATATAAGATATTGGATTTGAAGTAATCCATTTGGATTGAGTTTGGAGCATATATAGTTTTTATATTCTCTACAGTGGTACGGCATGCTAAAAGACAAAAAAAATGAAATTCTCTGGCGATGGCACTGTGTATGTAATCCCATTACAATTAGCTAAGTACAGTTCTATTCCAGGGTTCAATCGTAGATTTATACGTTTATTTGATCGCAATTTTTGAAAAAGTTTTAAAGATACGACCAAGAAACCGCTTTATTCGAAATCCTTGGTAATTCTGCTCTGTGCACTAAGTATAACGGAGGCAAAGTTATTGTTGGCGTCTGGGAAGGTGGAGCTCGTTACATATTCTGCACACAATTCGAACTTCGCATCATGTAACTTCTTGCTTTAAAAGGTATCAACCGTTTTATGAGGATATATAGCCAAGATGGCTGCGACAATGTTCACCATTAATTTATAAATTATTACGGTATATTGGTAAAAATAGTATGGTGATGTGCAACGATCGCCAAAGTTTTTTTATTCATTCTATTTCGTTCCCTGCAATAATAATACTTACATTATGATACCACGATATCCTGTGCTCTCTAGGGTTTGCGCGAACTGAACACTCAAAGTACACGTCATCACCTTCTTTAATATCGTGAGGATTAAGCGTACTCCCTAGAGATAGAGACACCACGGGGGGATCTGAAACAAAAATATGCGCTTAGTAGCTGAAAAATCTGAATTTAAATAATATAAAGTAGGACAAAGCAGATTTTAGAAGTATAAACTTTTTTAGGCGCGTTGGACATTTTTGAACAGCAAACAAAATAATGTATTATATGGTTTAATAAAAAAAACATTGGGAAAAAACATTAAACTCGCGACACTGTTACCGTTACCGTTACCGACACCTCTGTAAATAAGTACATATTACATTGGCCTCTACATATATTATTGGCCCCGTTAACACGAGAGTTAAGTTTGGGTCGAAATACATTGATAATTTAACTACATATCGGGAGTAAAGGACATCGTAACGAATACTGAAATAGTGTATTTAGACCATCATTCTGAGTCTAAAATCATTGAAATTTTCTGCCGGAAAATTAAACTTTAGGTAAATGTCATTTCCCGTAGGTATTGCACAAAATTAATAACTACAGTCTACGCACACTAACACAAGTTGGCAGTTAGAGAGGAGGCTGTTTGATTAATTGCATTGCAGTTTTTGATCGTATGCGGTATTTATCAATATTTTTTGGTAAAATGCTCTATTTACTCATTGTGATTTTACCAAAAAAAAAAAGATAAATTATAGAAAAAAGATGAATTTTCAGGCAGAAAATTCCAATGATTTTCGAGTCAGAATCATGGTCTAAATACACTATTCGTTACGGTGTCCTTTATAATAGAAACATACATATATTGTGTATATATGTACAAGATAGATATATATCACGTCGCAACTTTTCGAGTTAAAAAAAACAATTCTTTTTGTCAAGTTTTCAATTCTTTTAAAAATTTTTTTTTTATTCCTTTACTTACTAACAATACAACTACGTTTCTTATTAATATTATCTCGGCTAATAAATATGCTCAGGACTATCAGTTTAAAAATTAGTAGTAACCCATAATGCGGATTGCATGATATCAAAAAATCTTATTAAAGACTTAGATAGTTAATATTCTCAAACCTAGACATGAAATGAGAATAAAATAAGAATCATTTATTGTATTTACATGTTATAAGTGTAACAAAATGAATGTCAAAAGATTGCGAAAAGGCGTATTATCATTTACATTTCCCAGAGTAAATTGCTATTTAGTGGGAAGAGTCTTAACTTCCGGAGTTCTGAGAAATTTCAGATTGTTAAACTTTATTATATCCGGAATCGAATACAGGAGATCACAAATAATACCGATGGAGTGATTGAAAACTCTTGTTAAAGTAACATTTAATAAGCTGTTGATAGAATAAGTTTGGTTCAATGTGTAAGTCTGTCGTCGGGCGTTCTATAAATTTTTGCATAGTGCCAGAAGGTTTGGTGTAATTAGTGAGGTTAATTGTAACTGGGTAAGCATTTTTTTATTCTAGAAACTAAAAGACTGGTGGAAGAGTGCTTTAAAAGATTAAATTGGTCAAAGTTAATTATTCCATCGCGTGTCCCAAAACCTTTAGATCAATATTATTACTTGCGTATATACCACAAAGGTATTACCTTTGTGGTATCTGTATATAGTATTAATTTGGTCTACAGTGGCTAGTGGAAGAAAGAATGTAAGTCTATTGACATCAATCAGATACTTTAGGATTTGAAGATAGGATATTGGTATTATTTCGAAATGAAAAGGACGCTCATGGGGAACCTTCTTACCAGCAGCAAAGAACACTTCATTAATAGTGACATTTTATACCTACTATTTGGGTAAGTTTGTATTAACCGTATCTTCACCATGCATAATAGTCAATCTGTAGTCTTGTGACTAGTAGAAATTATTGCTACTATTAAAGCTCTATTAATATTACTTTCGTTTATGCAATTATTCTACAAGATAAATTCTGTTATGGATTGTAACATAAATAGACTAGATCCGTTGATGGTGCACAAGAATCGCACTGACACTGATCGCATTATTTTGCTAAAAGGATAGGTCCTTTAAGGGTCTGTATATTGAAAATAATTTATAACAGTATTAGGATACTGTTATAAATTATTTTTAATATACAGACCCTTTTGAAATGAGTAAGTAAAGATATATGACAATCATATTTGGACAATCAAATGTTGACTTATTCCTAAATCGTGGTTTTCATTTTTCAAACTATGCCAAACAAATGTAATGTATGATTATATTAAACTTTAGTCCACCACGGTAAAAGCATGTTTACTTCAGGTGAATACTTAACCGTGGTGAGCAGCGGGCGTTGACACTTTATTGGCCATTAAAAACCTATAACGACGTTGCCCCGCGGCCGGAGGAAACGCCCGTTCGCCAAATAAACATTTACGATTCCTCCGTTTAAATTGTTGCCAAAACGATTCACGCCGTGAGCGCCGAATTTCTCCCCACTCTAAATGCGTTACGGTTCGCCGAGCAGAAGTAAATAGAATTTATTTATATTTGGAAATTAATTTCCTCTGTCGTAATAGAGTCAGCGAGGTTCCGGCGCTTTCCAAAAATGACCGGCCCATTGAGGAATTAGCGTTTTGATTGAGTGGCTCGATTGCGGAGCGCAGAAAGTAAATTTCATTATTAAAATACAAGCGAGAGACCCTAAAGTGTTCACCAGGAATCCCGCTTCCGCAAATATAAATATCAAGATTCATACTTCTATTAAAATAATTGCAACCGACTGTATACTCCCAATATTTCGCCAAAATATATTAGAAACTTGTAAAGCATAGCTACTTTAGTAAGAATAATAATATTTTCACAAATATCACACACGGCCGTCTGATCCCAAACTAGGCAGAGGCTGTACTATGATAACCAGACTGCTGATAAACACACATATTTATTTCTAAATACTCGTACATATATCTAGATAAAGTACACCCAGACACAGAACAAAGGACGAAAATGAGGTTCATATCAAAAAGAAAACTATCCTCAAGTTTTAGTACATAAGTATAAATATAGGCTGTCTTGTATGAAACACCTAAATTGTATGAAATGTAAGATATTCGTTACTTCCCTTACGTAAAAACCAATTTCAACAAACACTAAGTTTCAGTTTTGTTAAACTAAATATAATATATAGAAATATACGAGGAGCACTGGTGTTTCAAGCAATTTAGGTAACCGTCTCAGACAAATTAAAATACTCGAGACTGATTAGCACAGATTCCAACTTTTCGTTGGCGATTAGCAGCTGGTGTCAAAATGATTAATAAAATAAACTAGATTTTAAAAAAGCTAAAAAACAGGTTTTTGTATCTAGACGAACTAAAAAGTAGAAAATAATTTCCTATAACTTCAAAAGGAAAAATCAATGGTTGTAAAAATATTTTATTGGTCTATTTATTGATAAAAGTAAAGTTAAATTATAAAATATCTTAAAAAACACCCTAGCAGAAAATTACTTTCTACTTTTCAGTTCTTCTAGTTACAAAAGTATAATAATGATGATGATTTCTCCTAAGACTAACAAGTAACAAGAAGTTCACATCTGCGTCAGCACACGCCTCTTAGTGCTAGTAAAAGCTACTACAGTATTTTTAGCTATGAAATAGGCTGTTAATCCTGAAGCGCCTGATCAGGATAATCGGCCAAATTTATCATTTTTATTATTATTATCAGTTCTTGATAAGTGTACGAAGTTTCAATTTAATTGAACGGTTTAAAGTGGGTCAAAATCAAGTTCGAAGATTCCGTTACATACATATTTAAATAAATACATACAAAGCTTATAAAAGCGTGTCAATGAAATTGTATTCTATTTTACTAGTTACGGGTTTAAACTGTATGTTACATGCTTAAGCCTTATCCTTAAAATATTTGGTGTTCGACTTTACAGAGGGCGCTAGTGCGCCACTACATCTAATACTCTGAATTAGTTTTTGGCGAGTCCTCAACGGATGTTAAGTGTTGATGTTGTGTGAGCTGGGCCGCGCTTACAACATTTTAATTACGTTTTACCAAGTTTCTCATGTTGGCGCATTCAAGCTTTTAATATTGTTACATAGGAAGTTTGTTTAGAAATGGTGACAAGGCCGGTTATTTGTTAAATCAGTTGACACAATTAACAAAGGAAAACCCTGTATACTATTTTAGTACTTTTGTATTGTATTTTTTTCTTGTATCTTAACATGAATAGGCCAGAACAAATATACCAGTGCCATTTTTCTGTATTTGTCGACAGATTTTCCATTATTCTCATTTATTTTTGTTTAAGTACCTATGAAGATTTTTCAATTTTTTAATTAAATGAAAATGACTGCAAATACTCGTATATCGACAGAGGCGTGTACAAAAATTGAAGATTAAAGTGAAAATTCAAGATATACTGGTAATTTTAATAAAAACAAACATTCCAAACCTAATTATTTTATATACTTAGGCAGTCGGGAGGAGATCCAGGAACGCATCGGCGGCTTCAGGAGTCCTCCCTGCAATACCCTACGTTCGAGGCACATCCCAGGGTGACTGTAGTTACCTCCGGGACGGGACGCAACCGCACCTCTACCAGCTTTACACAGTAAGAGGCACAACAGCGCCTCGCCTTAGGTGACATCCCTCGGCAGCACCGAAGTGTCACGGGGAAGCCCCCTGATAGGCTTGATAGTGGCAATTTTATTGTACCCAATAGAAGATGTGTGCGTGTATATGAATCCGTCAGATCACTAGCAGCATTCCTTAAAGCCAAAACTTCTATTTTAACAATTTAAAGACGAAAATACACCCCCTTGTCTGCATGGCATGTCTAAAATTAAAAGTCTTGATTGATTTTATCGCCATAAAACTCAATTTAGTAAGAACGATTAGAAGTATATCATCCGTCAGTAACAAGTTAAATTAATCTTAGTATTATTAAAAGCATCATTTCCGTCATACGAATACCGACATAATATAAGCCCAAGACATTTCATAATAATGCTGAACACCACTTGAACTACAACAGTATTGTCATCCGATGTAGCGGCTAAACATAGCATGTCAAACAGTGGGCACAAGACAGCTGACAAAGCCAAATTAATCCT